CGTTTACTCCAAACAGCTGGCTGACTGCTGGCCCCCAAACTTACTAAGTGTCTCTGGCAACCAGGTAAACTCTGGGGACACCCCTGACCCCATGGTGCTCTCTGCACAAGGAGTCAGGGGGCAGGTGGCGAATGAGTTCCGGTGCTGAGATGCTCCTGACACTCACATGGGCTCCCGGAGGCCGGATCTCAGAGAGGCCCAGGGAGAGGGGCTCCCTGACGTCACAGCCCCTGACCCCCTGACCCCCGCTCACAGCCAGGCAGCTGGCCTGCCGCCTCACCTGTAGAGGCTTTCCTGGAGGGTGGAGTTGTATTTGGAGATGGAGAAGCTGCTGGTGGCACCCCTGTAGGCCACCTCGCCTGTCCGGTAAGCACTGCAAGGGGAGAGGGGAGGGAGAGAGTGAGCCCTCGTGATACAGGGTCCTCTTCCACCCCCTGATGGTCCTGGCCTGCTCCGTTGACAGGGAGGGGCTGGGGGGCAGGGGCTGTCAGGCTCCATACGGTCTGACCCCGCCCACCTAACCCCGACTGCCCCCCTAGCCCAGTTGGGATCACGCCAAGCCCTGCAGCCTCGGCCCCGCCTGGGAACTTGTTGGAAATGCAGTCTCAGGCCCTGCCCCAGCCCTCCTGGACCAGGGATCTGGTCCTGGGGTGGAACAGGCTCTGTGGGGGACCCTGACGCTTCACCTGAGACACGCTGACCTGGCCCTTTCCACCCGCACTGTGACCCGCGGACCTGCGGCTGCGGCGGTGCCTCCCTGGACCTGCAGACCCAGACCCGGCACCTAAAGACTCTCATCAGCCCTGGCTGGTGTGGCTCAGTGGATAGAGGGTCCTATGGACTAAAGGGTCTGGCTTCAATTCTGGTCAAGGGCACATGCCCGGTTGCGGGCTTGATCCCCAGTTAGGGGGCGTGCAGGAGGCAGCCGATCCATGATTCTCTCTCATCATTGATGTTTCTCTCTCCCTCTCCCTTCCTCTCTGAAATCCATAAAAACATATATTTTTAAAAAATATCCACGGTCTCCTGACAAGATCACCCAGACACCCCTTCCCAGGTGGGAACGCTGAGCCGGAGGCAGGGACAGAGCTGGGTCTAAGTCCTCGTCCCCCAGCCTGGTTTTCTAGCAGCTTCTTCCACAGAGAGCCCTCAGTGAGGTCCTAAGCTCTTCTCCCCACAACCTCGCTCACATGGACAGACCTCAACATTACTTGACTTCAAGACACAGACCAAGAGGGAGCATGGAGGTGACCATGTGGCCTGCAAACTGGACCCCAGAAGGTCACATCTCCCCCTCCCCCTCCTCCCCCTCCTGGCGTCAGCCAGAGATTCCTATGCCTTTCCCTGGCCGCACCTGCCCACTTCACTCCCATTTGGTGAGTTCAAGCCCAGGCCACCCTGCCACAGCTCAGAGTCCACTGAAGGGCTGCACAGCCTGAGCTCCAGGTCCCAGAAGCGAGAAGCCTAGACCTGCCAGATGCCTGTGTCCTCAGGGGGCTGCAGTGGCCACTCACTGTGAGGAAGGGCATGAGGGGCAGGGAACCACACAAGTGGGTCCTACTGCAGAGCTACGGGCTGGCCGCATGCAAACAGCTGGCCCAGACGTGTGCGGCCCCAGGGACCCCGAGCTAGTGCCCTCAGCCCTGGTCCCCAAGAGTGATTTGAACATGAGATCTCTGCAAGGCGCCTGAGCTGCCCCTGCAAAGAGCTGAGCCATCCCTGAAGCCGGAAGGACCCCGGGTGTGGGGGAACGGTTACCTCTCAAAGCCCAGCTGCTGGCAGGCCTTCACTGAGTAGGAGCTGTTCCAGCTGTCGCTGCAGACGGGGACCCACTGGTGGGAGGAGGCTGAGTAGACTCTGAGCAGAGACTTGTCCCAGTCAAACCTCACTGCAGGGCGAGAAGGGCAGAGGGGCCCTCAGCACCCAGGAGGCGCCACGTCTGGGGGGATGAGCTGAGTAAGGCTCTGAGAGGCACCTGTCCTGGACCCTTCGCTGAGGCCTGGGAAATGCCCGGGAGCTTGGCCCCGGAGGTGAGGGGCATCAGCCAGTGCTTAGAAGCCCATGACACGCGGTGAGGGCAGAGGCAGGGCAGGGGCAGGGGCAGGGCAGAGGGCTCTCCATCCAGCAGGACCTGGGCCATCACTGGGACAAGGGCAGGCGCTGCCAGGAGCTGTCACCCCGAGAGGCAGTGACGTGCCCAAAAGAGAGAGTGACAAGGGGGGTGTGATCTATGATCCGACCGTGTCCTCACTAGACAGGCTCAGTCACAGATGGACACGGACATGGGCAGGACACATGTAAACGTGCAGGCAGAGTGGAGGGGCCCTGCCCCCACAGTCGTCCACATCGGGGCCACACACAGTCAGCCTGCAAAAGCCGCTGAGAACCGGAGCTCAGCACCACCTCTGCGCTCATCTAGGCCGGCCACTAACAACGTGCCTCCCTGAAACCACAGGGGGTGTCAGAGGTCAGGTGCTGGGCAAAGAGGAGGGGCACATAGGCTAACGCCCAGAGAAGGTAAGCGATCTGCCTGCGTCACACAGCACTCAAGGCCAGGTTTCAAACACAAGCCTCCGGGACTAGAACCCAAATCCTCCAATTCACTGTCCATCACCCCCCATTCGAGTTTGCAGTCACCGGAGTGTGCACACTCACACATACACACACACATGCACACACATGCACACACATGCACACTCACGTGCACACACATGTGCACTCGTGCACACACATGCACACTCACATATGCACACACATGCACACTCACACGCACACATGCACACACATGCACACATGCACACTCACACATGCACACACATGCACACTCACACATGCACACTCACGCACACACATGCACACATGCACACACATGCACACTCACACGCACACACATGTGCACTCGTGCACACACATGCACGCTCACACATACACACTCACGTGCACACACATGCACACTCATGTGCACACACATGCACACTCATGCGCACACACATGCACACACATGCACACTCACGTACACACACATGCACACTCACACATGCACACTCACGTGCACACATGCACACCCAGCCTGCTCACCGCAGCCCAGCTCGTCACTCTTCAGCTTGCAGTCAGCCACGCCGTCGCAGCGCACAGCGTGCCGGGGGCAGCTCTCCACCGCCTCCTTGTACTTGATCCTCGTGTGGCCCCTCCAGAAGTAGACTGGAAAAGATGAAGCACAGAGCGCCGTCACCGCCAGCCCCACGGCGAGGAGACACGGAGCAGCCCGAGGCCCGGGGTTCTGAGACACCGACCTGCAATCCCTCTCGAACTCTGGGGCTCTCGTCCCCCATCTGTATGGAGAAAAAGGCTACTCAGGAATGTTCCAGAATGCTCCAGAAAGCTCCTGCAAGCAGGGCAGCACCAGGCCGGCTTGAGCAGCCACCCAGAGAGAGAGAAGGAGAGAGAGGGAGGGAGGTGTGGACGTGGGAACTGCCCCGCCAGCTCCCCTGCCTGCTGCCGGCCAGAGTGGTGGCCAGGGCACCACTCCTCCAGGCCCAGAGCCCCTCCGCGCCCCTCGGCCTCTGTGCCTCTGCTCTGTAGGGTGAGGCAGAGACACGTCTAAGCACCTGCCTGCGCTCCACGGAGGGCCTTCGGCCTCAGGAGCTCCTGGATGTCCTGTCTCCTACACTCAGTTCCTGCCCCACGACTTGTCGCTGTGCTTTTAAATATCTTCCCACTCAAAGAGCAACTGGAGATGCTGGTGCCCAAACACACACGCTTCACAAACCATCTCCGCCTCACAGCTGACTCCCCGTCTCTAACCTGACTCCACACCAGAGCTGTCAGCCCTCCACCTGGACACACCGGCCCTGGGAGGCCAGGGAAACCGGCTCTGACTTCTCACCCGCCTGTCCCGGCCCTGGCCCTACTTCCCCGCCCCCACCATTCTCTCCACCCCCAGGGTGAAGGTCGCCTGTGTGACCCCCCAGGTGAAGGTCACCTGTGTGACCCCAGTGTGAAGGTCACCTGTGTGACCCCAAGGTGAAGGTTATCTGTGTGACCCCAGTGTGAAGGTTATCTGTGTGACCCCAGGGTGAAGGTCACCAGTGTGACCCCAGGATGAAGGTCACCTGCGTGACCCCCAGGGTAAAGGTCACCTGTGTGACCCCCAGGTGAAGGTTATCTGTGTGACCCCCCAGGTGAAGGTCACCTGTGTGACTCCAAGGTGAAGGTTATCTGTGTGACCCCAGGGTGAAGGTTATCTGTGTGACCCCAGGGTGAAGGTCACCTGTGTGACCCCAGGGTAAAGGTCACCTGTGTGACCCCAGGGTGAAGGTCACCAGTGTGACCCCAGGATGAAGGTCACCTGCGTGACCCCCAGGGTAAAGGTCACCTGTGTGACCCCCAGGTGAAGGTTATATGTGTGATCCCGGGGGTGAAGGTCACCTGTGTGACCCCAGGGTGAAGGTCACCCGTGTGACCCCGGGGGTGAAGGTCACCCGTGTGGCCCCCAGGGTGAAGGTCACCTGTGTGACCCCCAGGGTGAAGGTCACCACCTGTGTGACCCAGGGTGAAGGTCACCTGTGTGACCCAGGGTGAAGGTCACCTGTGTGACTGCTCCTTCCAGGTTCAGACGCCATTCCCTCCTGATCTGCAGGATGTGCCTCTCCTCCATGCTCCACTCCCCTCCCACGGCCTGTGCCCTGGATGGGCCATGGTCCCCTGGACGTGTGGGGAAAGCTCTGGGTGGGAGTCAGGCCTGGGCTCTAGTCGTGCCCCCCTCCCTGGTGCTGGCAGGACTACGGGCCAGAGGACTCGGGCATGCGGGAGCACCCGGGAGCACGCGGGAGCTATGCCAGGAGGCTCTTCCTCGGGCTCTCCGTGGATGGGGGAGGGGTCCCCTGGAGGTGCCTGTTGCGGGAACAAGAGGGAGAGCGGGCAGCAAGCCCCGAGCCCTGGACGAGGTTCATGTGGACCCACGTGGCGGGCTTACAGGCACCGTGACAGCCACGCCTCCACCTCGTTGGGCCGGTGGGGAGTGAGGCTCAGGAAATTACTACCCTGCCGGGTCACCAGCTGGGCAGGCGCAGAGCCCGTGCTTCGGCAGGTCTGCATGGCACCGAAGCCGTGTTCTAACCAGCACATGGCCCCCCATCATGGCCCTCGCTCCAACGGCCCTGCCCCCCTCCCCCCACAGCTGGCCCTGAACAGCACCCCAAGCCCTCCCTGCATTCCAGCTCTCTCACCCTGGCCAGGCACACCCATGTGACACACGGGGGCTCTCTAGGCACATGAGGCAGGTGGCAGGGTGCGTGGGGAGAGGGAAGGGCTGCTCACAGAGAGAAGGGTGCCCCCCCCCAGGCCCACTGTGCTGGGTTCGTAGCGGACCCCCTGGCAGAGGGCCCGGGACACGTCCTGAGTATCGTTTCCAAAGAGGGGAACTCCTCAACCCAGAACAACTTATCTCAGTGACGGGAAACGCCCCGAGACTTCTCCTAATCGGAGCGCTTGTGTTTGTTTTGTAATAACCAGCTTTTCCCAGTGGGATGTTGTGCCAGGCCTTGTGCCATATCTCACTGATTCCTCATAGCCCGTGAAGTCTTTACGAGACTTTCCTGGCCACATAGTAAGTTGAATGAATGAGTGAATGAATGAATGAGTGAACAAATGAATTCCATCTCATTTGAAGATGCAAAACCTGAGCTCTGAGTGGTGCACCAACCTGCCCAGGGAGCGGCTCAGGGGGAAGGACCGGGCCGGAAGCCCAGGCTTCTCTGACTCCCCACACTCATAACCCGGACTTCGGAGGGGCCTGGGGGCACCGTGTCGGAGGCCGTTTGCAGTGGTGGCCCCGTGTTCCCGCTGTGCCCCAGCACCCCCACCATGGCCACATGCCCCCCATGGTGCCCCCCCCCACAGCCCCCCCCCCCATGCGCATGCTCCCCCGCCTGTCCACTCACAGAGCAGGATGAGGGCAGCCACCAGCACGATGAGCAGGAGGACGCACCCGATGAGCGGCAGCCGCTTCTGGCCCTCCTGCCAGGAGAACTTGGGGGAGCAGGCACCTAGGGGCAGGCGGTAGTGGGAGGTGAGGGTGGGAGGGGCCTGCCCTGTGGGGTCTGGCTGGAGCCCGTGCCCTTGAGATGGGCACCTAACCCCCCTGTGCAGCCTCCACAGTGACTCCCCCTGCGGATCTGCTTTCCAGCCCCTCCCCACTTGCTCGCTGTCGGGTTTGCATGAATGACTCCTTCTGGCCCCTCCCTGCCCAGTCCCCTGCTGCCCCCTGACTGTTCCCTTCCTCCCACGCATGGCCATCCCGGGCGCAGAGGAGGAGCGGTGAGCCAAGGCCAAGCCTTCCTCCCCCCACGGACGGCCCCCCTTCTCCTCCTGCAGCCGGCCCCTCACCTGGGGTCTCCCCGGCGGCCCTGGTAGCTGGTGCTGATGTGGCAGAAGAGGCCCGGATGGGTGTGGCCCCCACGGGTGTTGCTCTGACCAGGTGCACTCTCCTCGGAGGGGATGCTGTGGAGGCCGGCTTGGCAGACGGTGACCTGCTGGACGGTTGCCTGCCAGATGGTGACCTGCCGGATGGTGACATGCCGGACGGTGACCTGCTGGATGGTTGCCTGCCGGATGGTGACCTGCCGGATGGTGACCTGCCGGACGGTGACTTGCTGGACGGTGACCTGCCGGACGGTGACCTGCCGGACGGTGACATGCCGGAGGAGGACCTGGAAGGTGATGCCCGGGCTGGAGTCCTTGCCGGGGAAGCGTTCTGAAATGGAGCAAAGGTGTCCCTCAGGTTGCATCCCTGCCAGCCACCCAGTTGCAAGCCCTCTGAGCTCCAGGGAACCGCTCTGAAGCAAGAGGCTGGAAGAACAGGGCTGGGGCAGGGGAGCAGGGCCACCCCATGGGGCAGCGGGGGAAGGGCCAGGGCAGGGCCGGGGCAGGGGGAATATGTGGGAAGACAGGAGGGTCCAGGGACGGAATGAGCCCAGAGTCCCAGCTCCCTTCAGTCTCTCCCTGTCCCAGGCCCTGCAGAGGTGGGCAGAGGGCAGTGCCATCTGCCTGGGGCGTGGGGGCACCTGCTTTGGCTCCACGTGTCTAAGGCCCCTCACAGGAGAGGCAGCTGGGCCGGCTCCTCTTCCCGAAGGCGGCCAAGAGCTGTGGTCCACGTGGAGGTGGTAACCAGCCCTCCTGTCCCCTCCACTCCTCTCCCCCCACCGGCCCCTTCTGTGTGTGTGTTGGTCTGTGACACTGGTCTTACCATGAGCTGTCATCAGAACGTGTGAACAGCACAGCTTAAGAAAAGCCCTGACTTGCCTTACACCCCCCACTCTCAGTAACCCCAGAATTAACACAGCACGCCCACACACACGCCCCCCCCCCCCACACGCAGGGGTAGCATGCAGGCAACGGCACAGAGGGACACGGGAAGGCAGGTGCAGGGGGAGGAGAAGGTGCGGACGGGGCTGAGCCTCCCCCCTCGGACATGATCCGTAACCTCATCAGCTGCGGGCGCACTCATTTACCCATAGTCACCGAGGGGGGGTGCTCTAACTGCTTTCTGTGTATTTCCTCGTCTCGTCGCCAGAACAGCCCTGAGGTAGGGATTCTCATCCCCATTTTGCAGAGCAGAGCAACTAAGCAACATGATTAAGCTGGCGGAGCCCCGTGTGAGCCCAGGAAGGCCGGTTCTGGGGGCCCTGCCCTGCCCACTGGGCGGCTGCCTCTGAGGGGGGCCGCGTGAGATGGTGCAGCGCGGTCCCAGCAGGCGATGGAAGAGCACCGGCCACTGCCCCCGGAGACCCGCTGCACCTGCGCCCCCCGATGGCTATATCTGGAGGAGGGAGCCCGGCGGTCGGGCTGTGGGGAAGGCGTGCGCAGCCTCTGCTGGCCTCAAGCCCTGGTCTGCAAGACACCAGGCCCTTCACCAGTTTAGGCCCCTTCTCACCTCCCTCTGCCCCTGTGGAGACCTCTCCACCCCCCTCACCATCCCTGCCTCTCAGGTCCCCTCTAGAAGCCCCCAGAGCGCAGGGGAAGCTGGGAGCTGACCGACCCAGGGGCCACACCTGCCCTCACGGTCATTTCTGCGGAGCACTGACCGGCTGCTGAGATGGTCTCCAGGAGCCACAGGAATGCGGGGGCTCAGCCTGCAGGTGAGCGGAGGGCACAGGGTCTGGGCCCCGCACCTGTCCCCTCCCTCCCCGCCCACGGAGCTGGACAGCCCTGCACGCGCTCACTCAGCCCACCAGCTAATAGAAGCCCTTCTCATGCAAACACCCAGCCCCAGGCAGCAGCTTCATCCCTCCCAGGCAGGCGGGTTGCATTTCATTTTATTTATTCTCTAAGAGTCAGAGGTCGCTGATGTGGTCACTGCCTCATGTTTATGGAGCCTGTGGGACGAATTCAAGGAGGAGCCGCCGTCCTGATCCCACACGCCGGTGAACGCACGCGGCCTGATGCCCAGCAGCGGCAGGGACACCCTCACGTGTGTTCAGGAACCTGAAGGGCGGCTGCTTGCCACACTGAGCCCAGTGGACCAGAGCTCGGCCCCCTCCCCGGGCTGTGTAGGTTCCAGAGGATGAAAACACATCAGCCCCTGGAGGCCCCCAGGGAACGGGACTGGGGGGGCAAGGAGAGCGGGCAAGGCCGTGTGGAAGGTGGCGGGCAGCCGCTGACCACAGGGGAGCCAGGCGGGCAGGCCGATCCTGGGCTACCAGCATGACCTGTGTGACCTTGGGACAGCCACTTAACATTCCTTGTTCTTGTTCTCGATCTGGGGAGTAGGACAGGTGCTTCCGAGGGTCCATTGAGGTCAGCGGGAGAGCCCTGCCCGCCTGGCACACGGCAGCTGGGCGGGAGGGCCATTCCTCTCCCCCTTTGCACCGGCACCCCCAGCGCCAGCGAGCTGAGCGGTGACGGCCACGGGGCATGACCAGAGGGCTGCTGGGCAGTGCCAGCTCAGCTTAGGGAGACGTGAGGGCGCCGGACAAAGGCCAGACTAAAACCCTTCGCACTCGTGCTGGCCGAACCTTGGCGTCTGCCTGGGACCTGGCATGTGGCCGTCTGCCTGCCAGGCCTTGGTCCCCGTTCTCACCCTGAGCCTTCCCCGGCTTCAGGGAGGGAGTTCCCCTCCCTCAAACAGGACAATGCTAGGAGCCCGGTGGTGTGAGAGCTCAACTCGCTTCCATGTCTCGGCCTCGGGGGTCCTCCTCCAGCCCTGAGGATGGAAGTACCTTTTTACAGTCGAGCAAACCCAACTCAGCGTGGATGCTCAGAATTGCAGTCAGGAGTCAAGCCCACGCCTGTGTGCGGCCGAGGCCCCTGCCTTCTCCCGTCAGCAGCCGGAGCCCATGCCGGGCTCACCTGCATTGGTGCCATGGCTGGAGGACTGGGCTGGGCCTTTGAGGGGCCGGGAACACCTCGAGGAGCCTAGAGGGGGGCTGGGGTTCCCATAGAGATGCTGGTCTTGTGAACTTGCTGGTGGAACCAGAGTTGGGCCTGGTGACCTGCCAGGCTGGGCCAGGCGGGTGCACGGAGTGGCACTATCAGCCCCAAGCCCCCGGGAGGCGGCTGGGACTCTGGCGGTGGCTCAGCCCCCACGCCGTGGCCTCCTCGTGTGCGGCGAGCCAGTCCCTGCGCAGAGCATCGCGGTGGCCGGTGGTGGTGAAGTCAGGACTTGGTGGCTATCAGCTGGGTGGCAGGGGTCTGTCTGTCTATCTGTTTGTTAAAGATGCTAGAAATGAAAACCGTGTATTTAAATATGACTTCCCTCCCTAACTGGTTACCTTGGCAGGTAAGTTCCCCTTGAGAGAGGCTCATGCCTGTGTGGAGCAAGTCCTGCCTCCGCCACAGGGGACGCGGGTCGGCGTGAGCAGCCGGGCTGAGCACGTGTGGCCGGATGGAGACAGCAGCCCATCGGGTGCTTCTCTTGGTCCCATTTCCACTTCCTGGTGGCTCTTTGTGGGGGAGAAGCCCATTGTACAGGTTTTGAAACTGAGGCCCAAAGTAGTTAGGAATGTTAGGAATGCCACATTCCCGTCTCAGGCGCGTGCCAGGGCTCGGGTTCTAACCAGGAGAAGCCGAGTCTGGACAACGGTGCCCAAGGGGCCCACAGTGTCCCTTCATTTCTGTGGGGCCTACAATTTGCTGTGAGCGTCCCCCATTGTTTCATCCGATTCTCACAAGGCTCCTGCGGAGCATGCCTGACGCCCTGAACTCAGGGGTGACCTTTTCGGGCTCTCAGAGTCTCTGACTGCACCTGAGCAGGACCCCACGGCCTGGTCCTGTCGCCCCATCGCGGAGGCAGGAACAGAGAGCCAGCCCCAGGAGAGGGGCCTGGGGCAGGCAGGGCCCAGAGGAAGCCCTGGAAGACTGGGGAGGCCCGAGCAGTGGGAGGGGAAGCAGGTGGTGGGCGGGCACCGGGCACGGCAGGGGCACCAGGAAGGCAGAGGCCCCGGTGCTGGGTCTGCCCGCTCTACCTGCAGGCGGCCCACGACCCACCCACGGCCTCAACCAGCAGGAAGCAGGGAGGAGAGGCCTGGAAGGCGCCCTGGGGTCCCTCTCTCAGCTGGGAGACAGTGGGACATGGAAAATGGGGCTGATCTTGAGCTCAGCCCCCGGGGGTCCAGACGGGTGGTGAGTAGCCCCCGGCCAGGCTCTTTAAAACCGTTGGCTCAGAGCTTCGGAACTCAGTGGCCCATTTAGTCTCC